TCTTTGACAGTAGATTTACCCAATATAACATGTCTTTTAATGTCTTGACTGCTCATAGTGGCCCCATGTGACAAAGGAGAACTTCCCACTGTGTTTTCTAAGTGGTAATCTTTATAAGAATGGGCCTTGGTAATGTAATTCATTATATGTTGGACTGAGAGCCAAAAGATTATGGGTGTGAATTCATAACCCACTCCTTGGGAGAAGGACCAGGCAGTGGACTCAGGTTAGGGTCTCTGGCCTCAGAAACCCAAAGGAGGGTCGCCATATGTCACACTCTATTTGATGACAGTAGATTTTCTGTTTTTAAAACAAATCAGATCTTTCTCAGATGAATGGCTGGGTGGGTTCAAACTTCTCTCTTATCAGCTCTGTTATAAGCACGTAACTGTTGTGCAACCAGAACACCTTCTTTTTAACTTGGTGGGTCAGAATTTGTTTTTCGCTATGGATGGATTAGAAAAAGTTCTTTCTGCTTGATAACTGTGTTCCTAATGCCAGGTGAGATTTTATGATTGTTGTCTAATTATAGGAAAGTCTAGCCACTGTCTGTCGCGTGCAGTCTGTAATTCTGGGTGCATTTCAAGTTTCCAGGCAGAGCCACACATCCTCTGAGTGCTCTCAGAGAACTGAGCCCCTTGCCAGCCCGCCATTAAGGTCCTGGTGAGAGTGATGCTGTCCCTGTCACTGTCAGCATTCCATGTCAAACCAGTGACACCACAGGAGTGCTGATGAAACCTGGCCTGCATTAAGTCCCACTAACGACAAGGTCGTGAGTGTGCCTGTTGCTTTGCGTGCAGCCCGCAGAGTGAATGATTAGAGGGAAATAACATTTCACTGTGCGTGGAGGAGGCTGGCAGCCCACCCAGAGGATTCACAGTGCAGCCTTGGACCTCATCTACCCTCCACATCTCCTGCACATGGATGCAGGAGGGTCTGCAGAGAGGTAAGCCTTAACTACAGCCACCTAACATCCCTGGAATCCACCTGCCTCACTTCTTCACTGACAGACAATTTAGAGAGAATCTGGGCATGTTGGGTACGCAGTTATGGAGATGCTGGACCAGGAGTACATGGAGTTTTGGTTTAATGGGCTTCTTTAATGTGGCTTACTTGCTGCCTTATGTCCTTAATCCACTGCTGTTGTGGTGGTGTTACATGCCGTCAAGTCAACTTTGAGGATGTGGCAACCATTGTGGTCATGTGAGGTCATGGCTCTGTCCTCCTTCCCACTCAATGCTGGTCAAAACCCAATGCCCTGGCAGTGCCACGTGGCAGGTGAAGAATCAGGTCCACCTCAGTGTGTTTGGTGGCCACCTCTAGCCACCTGAGGGGTCACTGCCCAGCACACTGGGAGAGTGAAGAGACAATGCACCAGGTCAAAACAAGCAGCAGAGCCGGGCTCTTGTTGAGACATTGAGAGAGAGGGAGGGGCGCCTGTCAGCTCTCCTCCACCTTGGAAGCCCAGATCAGAGCGAAGCCTCTGAGAAGTGGTTGGTGGAAAAGTCTCTGTGACACTCTCATTTCCAGCCTTGTTGGTGGCAAGTCTGAGGCTAATGGGAGGGTTCCATGTCCACTCTTAGCTTACTCTGTCACATGAGCCCGGCCACAGACCTGTGACAGTGCAAATCCCCCGCTACTTGAGGAACCTGAGATGTGCTGGACTCTAGACCCCACATCTCCTCTATGTCATTATTTGATAAATGCTGGATTGTGACTAGGGAAGACAGAAGAAGGATCAGAGCATTAGAATATGGTGATAGCATAGGGTATCGACACAAAGGGTATGCATGGCCAGAAAAACGGACGAATCTGTCCTGGAAGAGGTGTGAACAGAGGGTTGCTTAAAGCAAGGGTGGAGAGACTTCAGGAGGGGGCCAGTCCCAGGAAAGGACATCATATGTGCCAAAATAGAGGGTCGGGGCAATGAGTGACACTTCCATGAGATGGAATGACACAGCACCCATGGCAGTGGACCAGACATGCCCGCGTTCATGAAGATGGAATGAGGCCAGGCCTATGACAGAGTCACCTACAGTCCACGTCCAGCTGACAGAAGCCAGAAACACAAGCAGAACTGGTTTTGTTCCAAAAACCTCACACTCACTGCTGTAGAGTCAGAGCCAACTCAGAGCTGACCCTCCAGTGAGTTTCCAAGGCTGTAAAATGCATGGGGTGGTGGAGGGAGGGACCAGTACTCATCTTGGTCCTACAGTAGAGCCACTGGTGGATTTGAACCACTGAAGAGGTGCTACCTTGGGGTTGGCAACACAGTTTCCTAGGAGCCATTACACAGAAATCACCTCTTAACTCTCACACACAATAGATTGAAATCTCGCCTAGTCCAGCTCAATCCCTGCGAAGCTCAAGCCCATGGTTGCAGCTGCCATGTCAGTCCTAGATGAGTCTACTCGTCTTTACAGCTTGTTCTTTCACTGACAGTAGAGTTACAAGAGATTAATTGTGAGGATTAAAGAATATAGGTCTAATGTTCAGCATAGGGCTTTGCATTCAGAAAACACTAAACACTAGTCACCATTTGTATCATCAGCACCCTCATAAGCATTGTTATCATGCGAGTAGTGGTGTCGGCACACTACCCAAGAGCTCCTCTCCACATTTGAGGAGAAAAAAGAAATAGAATTTCATCCTCAGATCTAGAAGAAAATACAAAGGGAAGAGGAAAAATATCACAGGAGCATAAATTTCGCCGTAGATGTTGGTGATATTTAAATAAGATTTAAATTCGTGCAGCACTTACACAGAAGAGAAGGAAATGTCAACAGACTCACCTCCAGGGCAGGTGCAGCACGAGGTGGGAGCCGTGGCCTGCGTGCGCACAAGGAGGAACCATGTGCAGGTCTTGTCAGCCCACCTGGACTGTCTCCCCAGGGCACACGTCACGTGTAACCGTCCCAGCGTGATGGCCGGCACCTGGAGGAACAGATGGACATCACAGAACTGGCGTGTCGGTAATGAAAGTCAGACTCGCAGACAGTTCTCATTGCCCTGTAATGTGGTGTGAGTTTGCAGGGACTTTGAAAGGACTGAACCAGTCTCTCTTGGCAGCAAATGCTCCTTCACAGTCACCTTCTTGTGTTCTGAACATCCCTTGCCTTTTCCTTTAACCCTCTTATATGTGCCCATCATCTGTGGACTGATTTTTACTCCCCTCTCTCTCCCTCACTGTCCCTGGTGCCCAACCATCCAACAATGATTCTGTGTGTAAATCCTTCTTTTGCTTATTAAAATCTTGGTCTTATACAGTATTTACCCTTTTGTCACTGACTTATTTCACTCAGCACTATGTGTTTCAAATTCATCCATCTTCTTGTTGTTTATGTTTTATAGTACTTAACTGTTGTGTTTAACATTTGCTCAACTATCATAAAAAGAAAAGAATTTAAAGTATTAAAAAATACAAGACTTAACAGTCAGTGGAAATTCTGGGACCCTTGAGCCTGTGGCCCTTAGTCACCCTTCACACTCAGAACTGAACTTCAGTGGTTCAGTACCCAGACTGACAATGCACATGCCTGTACAGTGAACAGTAATGCCAGGGAGGTGCTCACTCACAGCAGTCAGCCACACGAGATTAAAATGGAGCATTTGCCCACAGAGAAAGCTCAGAAGTGAGGAATGGATGGCAAAGAAGGGTGGATGGACGTGGGAAACACAGGGAGGAAATGGGAAGGATGCTGTTACGTTGTGGCGATTGCAGCACAGGAAGCAAAGTACACATGAATTGTTGGATGGAAAACAATTTGCTTTGCACATTTTTACTCAGATTATAATAAAAAACTTTTAAAAAGGAATCTGTATTAATTCCGTCAATAATTCCTTTAAAACAAAGTTGAAATGGCCAGAGAAACCAGAGTTTATGGATATGACAGAACCAGAGCTTAGGTATGGAGACTGTCCCTATACCATAAAGAATGTCACCACTGGCACTGAGCAGCTCATGTAGAAATTGTTGAATTGGAACTAGATGGCTCTGCAGACCTTTGCTGAAAACACAGGAGCATATTGTTTTTTTAAAACAACTATAGAATATAATTGAGCTCTTATACACGCTAATTTGAATAAGCATGTTGTAGCTGGTGACAGGAAAATTCCCCGGGATATAGAAAGCAGACAGTCTCTAAAAGGCTAAAGCTCTGTGTATTTGGCTATTTATAAAAGACCTGGTTGTGTGTAAATTTGAGTTGATTCCTATCTTAGTTACCTAGCACTGCTGTAACAGAAATACCATAGTTGGTATCTTTCACAAACAGATATATCCTCCCAGTGTTTAGAAGGCTTGATGTTCAACTCCAGCACGTGTAGTTGAACACACCTTCCTCTGTATTGGCTCTGAGGGAACGTCTTTGTGTCCTTTCATCATCCTTAGGCCCAGTGCTGCTTTCAGACCTCCATGTTTCTAGCCTTTTGTCTCTTTTCAGCATCCTTAGACTCGGCATTGCTTGGAAACCTCCATGTGTCTTATCAGACTTCCCCAGGGTCTAGGAGGTTCTCGGCATAGAGACTCGAGGTCCAAGATGTTCTGTGCTCTCAGCTCTTCATTCTTGTTGATAGTCAGGCCTCTGCTTCTCTTCTAGCTTCTCTGTCTCTCTCTTAGAAGATAAAAGATAATGCAGGCCACACCTAGGGGAACTCCCTTCCATCAGAACAGATCTTAGACCTGAGTAAAGATGGTGCATCCCTTCCAGCATCAGATCTCATCAGATCACATCATCAGAGGTGGTTAACTCCTCCATAACTACTCAGCCACTGGGAAGGATGGCTCTGCCAAGGTTGACACCTATTTTTGTCAGTGCATTTCTTGGGAGGGTGCTGTAAACTCATGCCAGCATTGGTGGACGTTAGGGGCTGTCAGACCTTGTCATGCTGGGAGGATGTCAGTGGCTGGGGCCAGTGGTCATCTTTGATTCCACTACCTCACAGTCAGGTGATGAAATGTACAGAAAACTCACGCATGTCCCTACCCTCACACTTGACAGGTGTCCGACAGATGTGACTACGTCTTCGTCAACGGCAAGGAGATGAAGGGCAGGTTGAACGTGGTAGTGAACTTCACCTACCAGCACCTCCATGGAGCCCTGGAGATGACAGTGTGGGTGCCCCAGCTGCCCCTGCACATCGAGGTCTCAGACACCGAGCTCCACCAGATCAAGGGCTGGAGGGTGCCCATTGTTGCCAACAAGAGGTAGGATTTTGAAGCTCTGTTTCACAGACGTTAGATATGTTGCCCAGAGGGACCAGTCCTTGGAGAAGGACATCATGCTTGCTTTCCAAGCATGTGACGTGACAGCACAGAAGAGGAAGACCTCAGATGAGATGAGTGGACGCAGTGACCGGGGCCATAGGGACAGGTGTGTCAGAGACAGTGAGATTGGCTCGGGATAGGGCAGGTTTCAGAGATACTGTGCATAGGGTCCCTGTGAGTCACAGATGACTCAGTGACACGTACACAACACAATTGAGATGCAAATTTAAAGCTTTGCTGTTAGGTAAAAAAGCTGGCTGTCAGCCCATCAGTGACTGCAAGGAAAAGATGTGGCAGGAGACGTCCTCCTCCCAGAAGGATCACAGCCTTGTAAACCCAAAGGGACAGATCTCCTTGCCCTGCCAAGTCACTTGCTGAATCGGAATTGACTTGCTGGAACTGGGATGGAGTTGTAGGGTCCCCACCGACCACCAGGTGGCCCAGTGGGCACCATATGAGCAGAGTCACAGGATTAGGCTGTGTTCAGAGACACTTCATCGCAGAGAAGCCCAGGCTTAAGGTATCATGCACAACACCACACCCCACAGTGGGTGCAGCCTCTGCACTGCACGCAGCCCCAGCAGACGCAGAACATCGTGAGTGCATGGTCCTGGAGCTGGGGCTCCTTCTGCAGAGTGGGGGTACCACCTCACAGAGAGCTCATGCCATCTTCCCTTCAGAGGTCTGCACCTCACTGCCCTGTGATCCTGCAGAGGGCTGGCTACAAGAAACAGCTTCGGGGCCCTCACACAATTGGGAGACGGCTCCAGCTAGCATTCCCCCGTACCTGCAGGGCTCTGGCTTTGAATTGAATGGGGACTGGGATGATGCCTCAGAGGGTAGGGGCTGCAGGGGAGATCCCCTGGAGCTGCCTGGACATGCCAGCCTTTCCCTGGTCAGACATCAAGTCAGGCTGGCTGGATGATAAGCAAACTGATGGAGGAGAGATGTGTGAGGCAGCCAGGGCCAAGGGAACCACTTGCCTCCAGCCTCCAGGTCCTCTGGCCCTCATTGCCTTTGTCGCACATCCTTTCTCCCCTGGAAAGTACGCGGTGTCATCTCTGGACTACTTTAGGGGGAGACCAGTTGTTCATGTTGCTATAGCCCCTGAGTCGGCACTGACCCTCAGTTTCCCCAAGTACAGCAGGACAAGGTGCTGCGCCATCTGCGCAATCACTGGTCAGTCCGGATCCACACTGCACCCACTCTGTTTTCAGTCTTTCCCCCTGGGGCTCACTTTCCAGCTCTGTATCGGATGGTGTTCTGGGGTGGCCAATGGGGTTGTCACTGGCTGATTTGAAGCAGTAGATCACCAGGACTTTCTTCCTAGCCTCTTAGCCTGGAAGCTGATGAAGCCGGCTCACCATTGAGGCAGCACGCAGACCAGTGGCTGCCCTTTCTGGTAGCCTCTGCGTGTCTGTATGGGCCTGGCTGTGACCCCTGGAAGACAAGCAGGTGGCCGCTCACCACACAGCCCTGATGAGTGGTCAGCCGTAAGTTCTCAGACTCGCATGTCTCTCTGCCAGGCCGGCCCGGGACAGCGAGGAGGAGGATGAGGAGGAGCGACGGGCCCGGGGCTGCGCCCTGCAGTACCAGCATGCCCTGGTGCGGGTCCTCACGCAGTTTGTGGCCGAGGCGGCTGAGCCCGGGGGACACCCGGCCCACCTGCTGGGCTCTGACTGGCAAGTGGACATCACGGAGCTAGTGCACGACTTCATGCAGGTGGAGGACGCCAAGATTGCCCGGCTACAGGGGGGCCAGGTTCTCATCGGACAGGAGCTCGGCATGACCACAATCCAGGTACAGTGTTGAAGACCCCGGCTCCCTAAGCCCTGGCCGCTAAGGACCCAGACCACGATCCACGACTGACCGCCTCCGAGGGTCCACCTCAGCCCCAGGCCTGCTCCGTGTCCATGACACTCTGAGCATCTAGCTCTGCGCCCACCATGTTTCCCATCCCCCTGCCTCTGTGAGGGTCCCTGAGCCCCACCCTGCCGAGAACATCACCCAGGACCCCCCTTCTAGTTCCATGTTTACCCACCTCACTGAGGATCTAGCCTGGGACCTTATGTCCTCACCTGCTGAGAGGGCAATCTGAGACCCCCCCCTCAAATTCCCCTCCACTGAAGGTACAGGTGGGACCCCCACACCCACTCACTAAGGGTCCAGGCAGGGACCTCCACTTCCTGTCCATTGAGGGTCTAGCTGTGTCCTCAGAACGGCGCATCTTCCTGAGTTGTGTAGAGCAGCCGCACTGGTGGGGACGCAGAACGGTGCAGCGTCATGGTGGACACAGAGTTCTTCCTCAGCTCTCACCTCTGAGAGCTCTGACCTCTGAGAACCTCTGGTTCAAGCCCACCAGCTGCTCTATGGGAGAAAGATGTGGAGGTCAGTTCCTCATAAGGTTTATGTTCTCAGAAACCTAACGGAGGGTCTCCATGAGCAGGATGGGGTGTGGCAGCAGGGGCTTCGTCTTGGTTTTGAGGATGTGGAGGGGGTTGATGTTGCAGTAAGGGCCTCTCTTAGAGGCGAGGATGTGAGGTCTCTATAGAAGGGTAAGGTTGGGGAGTTCTGGTGGCCTAGTGGCAAGATGCTGCACTGCAATCCCAGAGGAACACGGTTCGAATCCACCAAACGCTCTGCCGGAGAAGGAGGCGCAATATCCTCCTGTACCAGTCAGATCTGATTTGATGGTACACGCACACAAAATAATAAAAAATGTAAAAAAACTCTTAAAAAAAAAAAAGAAGGGTAAGGTTGCTCCCTTGTTGCCAAAACATAGTGGGTTAGGGAGAGTTTATCACAGGATGTAGGACTGCCTTCCAGAATGTTAAGAGCCCCCAGCTCTGTGATTCCCACAATACAGATTTAGAGGCACATGGGCCAGCAGTGCATGTCTTTAGTCATGCATTGACTTTAATGTGCATAAGATAAAAAAATGAGTCCTGGTGGCCTAGTGGCGGGAATGGCACTGCAATCTTAAAGGCATGTGATTCGACCAGCTGCCCCACAGGAGAAGGATGGGCAGTCCTCTCCTGTGTGATTAACTGTCTCTGAAGACCCCACTGGTGGGTCACATATGGGTCAGATCAGACTCAATGATACACAACAACAGCGTAAAAATACATAAATATCAGTGTATAGTTTTGCAAATAACCCATTTTATATAATTTTTTTAACCTTTGCAACTTCATATGTGCATGTTCTTTGTGTGTGCCATTATGTGAAAAAAAAATAAAAAATATAGTAGCTAGTAGACCAGAAGGAGCTCTGGCAACATAGTCCATTGACCATCATGTTGCTCAGCCGAAACGCTGAGCTCCTCTGGGGCCTTGAGTCCACTCACTGGTCAGCAGTCTCCTCCCATGTGACTCACAGCCTCTGAATCCCCATGGAGGGTCAGCTGTGTCACTGACTTATGCCTGGGTGGCAGGGGGAGAGTGTGCCGGAACCACTGTTCTCTGGTCCTGCAGAGTCAGCCAGGTGCACACACAGGTGAATGAAGGCGGGCAGCACGGAGGTGACAGCGGCCCAGGTGTGCTGTTGCCATCAGGTGGGCAGGCGGTGAGCATGTTGTAGGGGGCACTGAGGTTAATGTAAGGCGTGGAGGAGGGCCCCCGAGGCACCACCTTGCTGACACTAAGAAGTGTCCCTCAGGCCAGCTGACCTGCAGGTGAGAAGGCAGATGGCCAGCTCCTGTCTGGAGGGCCAGCAGCACCAGCAGCCAGTGCTCACAGTGGCCTCGGTCTTGCTCTGCCCTCAGATCCTCTCACCCCTGTCGGACACCATCCTCGCCGAGAAGACAATCATGGTGCTGGATGAGAAGGTGACCATCACTGACCTCGGCGTCCAGCTGGTCACCGGGTTGTCACTGTCCCTGCAGCTCAGCGCCGGCAGCAACAGGGCCATCTTTGCCACAGCTGTGGCCCAGGAGGTCCTGCAGAGGCCCAAGCAGGTGTGCGGGGCTCAGGCAGTGGAGGGCGGAGGTGGACAGGGCAGCTCGTGGAGTGGGGGCCACACGACCTCAAATCACGCTTCCAATTGGACCTGCACACACAGGGGTCAGAGCGGTTCAAGGGGGCTCTGTTTCCTCCTAGTTCTCCAACCAGGTGCATGTGAGAAGGGGTATTGTGAGTCCCCCAGAAGCAGGCAGAGGCCCCCAAGCTGTGACGTATACACACCCTGCCCCACTGCTCAGGGTAGTGCCCATACAGGCTCACCTTGGTCAGCCATCCAGACCTACCTGGTCGTCAGCCCAGAGAAGGGGGTCACAGAAGTGACCACCTCCTGCTGCTGCATCTCTACAGGGGAAAGAGGTTGACAGGGTGGGGACTGGGGTGTGAGGAATTGACCTCAATCCATCACTGCCCATCTCAGGTGATCAGTGGGGCCCATGGCCATGCCTGACCTGGTTTTGCTTTGCCATCTTTTGCAGTACTGAAGATGTGTATGTTTGGCCACAAGGGTGTCTGCTGCATGTATACATACCTGTGTGGTGTGCGCGGTGTACGTGTGTTCATGTGAGTGTGTGTATCTATGTCCCTTTTATGTGTGCAGGTGTTTATTCTGTGTAAGTATGTGCACATGATGTGCATACACGTGCTGTGTGTGCATGTGTGGAATGTCTGTGTGTCTATCTGTATATAGCGTGCACATGTCTCTATATTATGTATATGTAGGTACATGTGTTTTAGTGTATATGTGTGTGGTATAATGCATGTATATTAGTGTATAATGGGTACATGTGTGGTATCTTTATATGAGCATGATGTGTACTTTTAGACATGTGGGTGATGTGTATGTGTTTGTGTGTATGTGTGTTGTGCTATGGATGTGCCTGTTAAAGGAATATGTATCTGTGTCTTGTGTTTGGATGGCATGTACACATGTATACATATGGTTTAAATATATGCACATATGTGCTGTGGGTACAGGTGTGTATGTGTGGTATACCTGTTGTATGTGTATGCCATGCATGTGTATGGTATCTGGTTTTATGTGTTGTGTGTGTTTATGCTATGACTGTGTATGAATAAGCAGGTAAGTGTTTACATGTGTGTGCTTGCATTCATACTTGAGCATTTACATGTTTGTATATGTGAATAGATGATAGCTACATTTGTTTCATTTGCATGAGTGTATGTGGATATGCTGTGTGTGTATATATGTGTGTTGATTCCATTTTTCATGTAAGAAAGAACTGTGCATGTGTGTGCTGGCTCTGTCATTCCATAACAAGGAGCACTCTGTGTGTATACATATGTGTTTGCACACGTGTGTGTGTGTGTGTGTGTGTGTGTGTGTGATGGCTGGTTTTTCATAACAGAAGGACCATTCTGTGTATATATGTGTTTTCATATGAGTTTACATGTGTGTGTTGTGAGGTATGTGTTGTGGAGGGGATTGACCTTGTTCATAAGAGAAGGAACTTTCTACGTGCACATAGGTGACTGTAGATGTATGTACTGTGTGCTTGTTTATGTGGACTCCATTTTTCCATAACAGAAGGAAACTTGTGTTTGTGTGTGTATGTTGACTCTGTCATTCCACAACAGAAGTAGTTTTATGTGTGTATGTATGTGTGTGCATGTGAATTCATGTGTGTTTATATGCGTATATAAGGTGTTCTTTCTGTATACGTATATGTGTTGCATGTGTGTGCTGTGTGTTTACATTTGTGTGTTTGTATGTATCAGTCCATAAATGAAGGGCAGTGTGTGCGTGTGTTTGCATGTATTAGCCCTGATGTTCCTTAACTGAAAGAGATGCTCAGTGTTGGATCTGCAGGTCTCCTGACTGCTGCTTCACTGGGGTGGGTGAGCACAGTGGACTGGGTACTCAGTATTTCTTGAAGGAGCAAACAGATTTCCTCACCCTCACTTAACAACAGAAGGCAGTGGTGGCTGGTCAGTAATTCTCTGCATCCAAGGCCGTCCTCTCAAGGGGCCCCTAGAAGGAGCCTTCTCACATCAGGTGGGACCTTGCTTATACAGCTCCCCTCAGTGGTCAGGTTCCCATCCCAGCCGCCCAGCAAGCTCCAGCCAAGGCCACGACCCATGTTGAGAGCAGGAAGGGACACCTTGCCAATGGGCCTGTCCGCCCCCTCATCACCAGTGCTTGCTGGCTGGTTCGAGCTGACCCTGTCTACATAGTAAGAGAAACAGAACTGTGGGCAATCCCTGTAAAGATAGAAAGTCCTGCCACAAACAAACCTCCAGCTTCCAATGAGAGAGGTCAGCTAGAACGCAGTGACCGGGCACTGAGAGCAGTGACAGGCTGCCCTGTCCTCAGGGCTGCTAAAGGGGGAGGTGCCAGTTGTGAGCTGAGTCACGCCACGATAATCCGTTCCTGGCACACAGAGTGAGACTCCCAGCCAGGGTTAGCTCCGTGCTGCTCAGAGGCCTTCACCCTGTGTGCAGTGCTCTGCCGTTTTTTGCAGAAATCTAGAGCACGTCTGAATGTCCTCCTGTCCTCCTGGGGTCGCACGGCAGACCAGGGAGATGAGTCAGTCGGTGCCCTGTCAGCAGTTCTGCACTGTGTTCCAGGTGTTCCGTGGAGCAGCTGGTCCACCCCCATGTCAAACCAGATATGACTTCTGTGCTAGGCGGAGGCAGGCGGGGCTGTCCCCTGTGCGGGGACGATGCACCCAACACAATCCCAGCCATCCCTGTGCTGGGCCGAGGCAGGCGGAGCTGGCTGGCCACAACTGTCCCCTGCTGCGGGGACGATGCACCCAACACAATCCCAGCCATCCCTGTGCTGGGCCGAGGCAGGCGGAGCTGGCTGGCCACAACTGTCCCCTGCTGCGGGGACGATGCACCCAACCCCACATCTGCAGTCTCGGCCGTTTCCACGCACACAGCTCAGTGACATTCATGATGCTCTCCAGCGGCCAGGCTGTTCCACCATCTTTTCCAGATCATTCCACCACAGGCATGTGCCTCACCTCAGTGCCCCGAGCAGTGATACCCAGCCCCCTGCTCCCACCCTGCACAGCAGCGGGCTCTCACAGTGTTCAGCTCATGACTAACGTCTTTCAGTCAGCATAATGTGATCCAGGTGCATCCCTGTCATCGCGGACTTCAGAATGTTATTTGTCCTTGTGGCCAAGTCCTGTTGTGTGGTGTGTGCGCCACACTCCTGTCCCCTTATCTGGGGGCAGACATTCTGTTGTATCCATCTTTAACTGTTGTGGGCATTGCTTCGTGGCCACTGGCAGGTAGGTCTCCGTTGACCTCCTCACCTACATTTGGACAAACACTTGGGGCTGGACTTGCTGGGTCACATGGTGGCTCGGGGTCCAGTGTCCTGAAGAACCATCAAGCTGTTCTCCAGCAGCTGCGCACATGACCCTCCGCTGTGGGTGAGGGTCCTCGTGTCTCCATGACCTCATCAGCAGTGTTGTTTTGATTTGTTGTTCTTGTTTTAATCATTTCCATTCCAGTGAGAGTGAGGTGGTGTCTCCTGGTTTTTAACAGTTTCTCCCTAATGACTAATGCGTAAGCTCTGGTGGCGCAGTGTGTCACTCATTGGCTGCTACCCTGAAGGTCAGCGGTTTGATTCCACCAGCCTCACCATGGAGAAAGACAGGCTGTTGCGTCCCGTAAAGTTGTACAGTCGCGGGAACCCAGCGAAGAGGTGCCTGGAGTTACGGCTGGCTCGGTGGCAAGGGGTTGTGACTAATGAAGGAACTCTGGGGCACCATGGTTAGCCCTGGGATGCTAACCAGAACGTCAGAGGTTCGAACCTTCAGGAGAAGGCCAACGCAGAGCTCTGCTCCTGTAAAGATGTGGCCCTGGAAACACTACGGGCCAGTTCTACTCCACGCTGTGTGGTTGCTGAGTCAGAATTGACTCAATGGCGGTGGAGTTTTCAAAGCTAATGAAGTATCTTTTCATATGCTTCTCGACCATTTCCGTGTCCAGTGAGATCGCTGTTCGAGACCTCTGTCCGTTGTTCCATTGAGTTGTCTTTTTGTTGTTAAGTTGTACATAGGGCAGACTGAATATTAAGCCTTTAGCAGGTATGTGTGGGGTGTTACATACCATCTAGTCGACCAGAACTCATAGCAACCCTTTGAACAACAGATCACATTTATGATCCCAAAACTTTTCTCCCAAAATATCAGTTTACACCATGACAACAGCAATCACCTGTCCCACCCAGAACCTACTGGTTTCAAGAATAAGAAATCCACTCAAGTAAGCTTAAATCACTGTGAACTTGGTGACGGATCAGAGCCTTCTCCTAGTCACAGCTCATAAAGTGTCAGAGAAGCTGGAGACTCAACCCAGCATTGGACAGCTCTCCACCTCTGCACCATCCTCTCTGGTCTGCTTCCTTCTCTCCCATAGACATATCCTGTGCCCAGACATTTGCTACACATGGCCCGTCATGGCTGCTCCAAACTGGGAGCTCCCCTGAGAAATGCAAACGTGCTTTGGAACAACAGGGCCAATTTCATGCAAGAGGGAAAGAAACTGAATGGCCCAAAAGGTTCTGGTTATAAGGGGCCCTCTTCCCACTACTCCATTCAGCTTTCCTCTGGCCACTCCCACCAATCTAACAGCTATGCCCTGGTCCCTCCCACCAGTCTAATCAGCTGTGCCTTGGTCCCTCCCACCAGTCCAGTCAGCTGTGCCTTGGTCCCTCCCACCAGTCCAGTCAGCTGTGCCCTGGTCCCTCCCACCAGTCCAGTCAGCTGTGCCCTGGTCCCTCCCACCAGTCCAATCAGCTGTGCCCTTGTGGACAGGGTTCTATATCCATCATTCTGGGCCTGGAACAGAGAAATGAACAGGAAACAGTGGGTCTATCAGATGACTCTTGAGTATGAAGACACCTTGACTAAAATTGTCAAAACCATTAGAATGATACTTAGAATCAGATATCTTGGACTTCAGTTCGCCTACTGTGGACCCTTTGTCCAGAAAGACCAGCTGATAGAAAAGGACATCATGGTTGATAAGGCAGGGTCAGCAAGAACAAGGGAGACCTTCCATAAGATATATTGACATAGTGGCCACAATAGTGGCCTCGGGAATGCCAGCGGGAGACAATTGCTCAGGACTGGATAGCACAACACTCTGATATGTCCCCTCTCAAAGGAGACTTGATAGCACCCAACAACAGCTAAAATTAGAGGCTGTCTGCCCACTGTGATCTGCCTGACTTTGAAAGTGGAGGATTATACTAGCTCCTTCTCACGCACACTCTTTCTCTGTCCACCCTTGAGGACTAGAAGTCCAAAAACTTTGCAGCTAGAGCACTGTCTCTTTGTCTGTCTCTATCTCCACAGCACCTCCCTCTCTTTTCCCTCTAGTATCCCTCCAATTCAAGACTGTCCCTGCTCCCACAGACTCATTGAAGGCAGGGCCAGCGTGGCCCCTCTGGGGAATCCTTGTCTTGATTAGGGGCACTAATGTATGTTGTGAGGAATAAGTGGAGACTCAACATTAAAGCCACTTAAAAATAATGTGCTAAATGCAGTTCATTTAAACGTCTAACGCTTGTAAATGATCCACTAACCAGTGCTATCCTCTGACGTGCGGCTTATTACTGTGCAGAAGTAGACCCAGCACAGCCTGAGGGACCCATTTTTCTGTTACTACATCCAAAGAGAAAGAGGAAAGACAATCTTATTACAGAGTGTGGGATGCCAGCCCTGCTTCGTGTGCCACTGTTTGCTTTCAGCACTGCAGCTTCCGAAGGATGCGTTTTCCTTCACAGGTGTGTAGGTTGTTGCTGTCGTTAGACGCCCTCAAGTCAGTTCCTACACATAGTGACAGAAGACGCTGCAGGCCCTGGCCCACCCCCACTGTCACTGCTGGGCTCCAGGCCACCTCTGCAGCCACTGTGTCACAGCATCTCACTGCGGTACTTTACCAAGCATGACATCCCTCTCTAGGACCGATGACCCCTCCTGATGACATGAGACAAAATCTCTACTTCCTCACTTCTGAGGAACACCCTGGGGTGCTCCCTCCAGGACAGCTGTTTATTCTAGCAACAGACCATGTATGTTCAGTGATCTTCATCAACACCCCAACTTGAGAGCATCAAATTCGCTTTGGTCTTTCTTAGCCATTGTCCAACTTTCATGTGCACATTAGGTGATTAAAAATCCATGGGTTGGTCAGTCAGATCCCAGGTCCCAAGGTGACATCTTTGCTATTTCATACTCTAAGGAGTCTTCGGCTGTAGATAAGCAACGTGTCATTTGATTTGTTGACAGCTTGCTTCAGTGAATGTTGATTGTGGGTCCAAGTAAGATGAACTCCTCAACAGCGTCAATCTCGTCTCCACTAATCATGATACTGTTTACCGGTCCAGTCGTGAGGATCTTTTGTTATCATGTATGTAGTTCTTACTAAAGGCTGTAGGCTTTCATCTTCAAAGTCTCACTGCTTCTTCTCTCCCATCTCTACATTCTTTGAAAAGTTTTTTTCTTTGTTCAGATAGTATCATTTATCCGTGATTGATTTTTATTAGGCTAAAAGATAGATAATTGATAGATAGATAGATAGATTAGAAAGATGAGAGATAGATAGATAGATAATTGATAGCTAGATAGCTAGATGATAGATAGATAGATAGATAGATAGATAGATAGATAGATAGATAGATAGATAGATAGATAGAATAGATAATGACATGTTTGCCAGGTCAGTAATTTTTACATGTATAAGTGGGTGACATTGATCACTTCTGTCATGTCCTTTTTCAAATTATTCTACCGCTGTTAATCGGAGTCCAGAGCTCCCAAGAGGTGTCCCTGTCTGCCTCCCACCACCCCATAGGGAGCTCTAGCAGCCTAGCAAGTAAGGAGTTGTCCATCCAAAAGCAAGTGGTTTTAATCCACCAGCTGCTCCTTGAGAGAAATATGGACAATCTCCTCCTGTACGATTTGCAGCCTGAAAGCTGCTGAAGGGTCGCCTGTGCTCTGCTCCAACATGACAGCCTTTATCAAACCACCCACCCCTGGGAACCACTAGTGGACATCGGTCTCTTTACATCTGATTGCATGTGTGTGGGCTCATGCAGTATTTGTCCTTTTGTGAATGACTTCTTTTACTCAGCATGATGTTTCGAGAGATGTCATGGCATATTCTTAGCACACTTCATAACTCTGTTTATTTCCAGAGACCCCATGGTGGGTCTGAACCAGTTTGCTTTCCACTCATCTGCTGGTGGACATTGCAGTTGTTTCCGTCTGTGGGTTTTGTGAAAAGGGCTGCAGTGAACGTCCACATGCAGGGTTCTGTTTTGTGTTCCCACTTTTCTTCCTCTGGGTACTGGGAATGAGGGTTGCTGGGTCACGTGGTGGCTCTGTGGTAAGACTTTTATGGAACTACCACATAGTAAGGAAGCCCTGGAGGCCTGATGGGTGGACAACTGTGTTACCAACCCAGAGCCAAGCAGTTGAAATCCTCAGCTGCTCCATGGGAGAAAGATGGGCCATCTCTGCACATGTGAGTGGCAGCCTCTGAAAACCTGCTGGAGGGTCAGCTTTGCATTGATCCCACCTTGATGGCAGTGTGAGGAAGAGAGACTCTGCTCCCAGCTCCCAGCAGCTGCACCATTTCTTCCACATGTTCACCAGCAGCAGACAAGCTCATGATTTCTCCACATCCTCAACCACATGTTCTCTTCCTTTTGCTTTTGTTTGTTTGAGTTTGGTCCTCGCTGTGCTGGTGGTGGTGAGGTGGGGTAGCATCCGCGTGCCCGGTCTGCTGGGGAGGGAGTTGCACTGCCAACCAGGGAGCGGTCAGGTTGAAGCCACCAGTGGCTCCACAGGAGAAGGGCAGTGAGTCAGGCTCCTCCGTGTGATCTCCTCCCTGGAATCTGCAGGAGGGTCAGCGGTGAGGCAGCACCGATCCAACAGCAGTGAGTTGCTCTTTTTTGTTAATGACCTTGAGCATCTTTTCATGTTCTTGATGCCCATTTGTACAGCCACTTAAGTGAAACGTCTACTACAGTGTCTACCCATTTCTTTGAAAACAAAAATTCTTACCAGTGGATCGGTAGGCGACATCATGATAAACAAAGAAAAGATTAAAACTGTCAACAACTTCATATTACTTGGATCCACAGTTAACACCCTTAATACCAGCAGTCAGGAAATCAGGAGACATATTGCACTGGGAATGTGTGCAGTTAGGGATCTCTCCAGGTTATTCAGGAGCATTGATGTCACTTTGAGGACTAAAGTGCCTCTGATTCAGGCCGTGGTCTTTCTAGTCACTTGCTTTGCATCTGAGAGCTGGACAGTGACTAAGGATGACAGAAGAAGAATTAATGCCTTTGAGCTGTGGTGTTGGAGAAGAGTATGGAAAATCCCGTGGATGGCCAAGAGAAAGAAGAAACAAATGTGTCTTGGAGAGGGTGCAGCCAGTGCTCTTTGGAGGCAAAGGTGATGACGCTTCGCCTCACATACTTCAGGTGTGTTGCTAGGAAGGGCCATTCCTTAGAGTGGGACATGATGCTTAGAAAGGTGGAGGGTTGGTGAAGGACAGGAAGACCCTTAACCAAGTGGACTGACTGACACAGTGACCGCTGTGTGTCAGGAAGTGCGTGAGGATGGCGCAGGATAGGGCGAGGTTCAGATCTGTCGTTCAGAAGATTGCTGTGGGTCATGTTCTAGCAACAACAACAACCACCCATTTCCAAATGGGCTTTTTTCATATTGTTTATTTTTCCGTTTCAAAAGCTCTGTTCTATTCTGGGAATTAACCCTTTATCTGACATATGCCTTCCAGGAATTCTCTCCCTGTTTATGATGCCTTTTCCTTTTCTTGGTAGAATCCTTTGATGGGCAGACTTGTTTCTTGGTTTCATTTTGATGAGGTTGTGTATCTGGGCGGTATTTGTCGCTCACACTTTTGGTGTCCTGTCTAAGGCACCAGGAGACACCACCTTCTATTCTTAGCATTCTGTGGCTTGTCTTTTACTTTGAGATCTTCAGTGCCTTTGGAGTTAGTTTTTGGACGTGGTGTGTGAAGGAGGGGTCCGAGTGCCCTCTCTCTCGTGGACAGCTGGTGTCCAACACCATTGATTGAAGACACTCTCCTTTCCCGCTCGGGTGGACTTAGCACCCTGTCAGAAGGCAGCTGACCTTAGATGTACCCTGTGTCTTATGCCTGCGTCCGCACTGTTGAAGCATTTTTCTTTATTCTTCATGTGTTATTTCTGCCACCTAAAGTCTGTCTCCCTAAGAACAGGTGCTCCTCTCTGGCCCCTTTTGATTAACACACTTCTTTTATCCAACAGGAAGCGGCCATCAGCTGCTGGGTCCAGTTCAGTGACGGCTCGGTCACACCCTTGGACATTTATGATGAGAAAGACTTCTCCCTGGTGGCCACATCCCTGGATGAGAAGGTGGTGTCCATCCACCAGGACCCCAAATTCAAGTGGCCTGTGATCACCGCAGAAACAGAAGGCCAAGGGTCCCTGGTGAGGGTCGAGATGGTCATCAGTGAGCCGTGCCAGAAGTCCAAGAGGAAGAGTGTGCTGGCCGCCGGGACCGCCAGCATCAAAGTGAAATTCGGCCAAAGCGACGCCAACCCCAGCGCGAGCGGCAGCGGGCGAGCTGGGCCCGGAGCACACCTGGAGAATCACATCGATGACCGGAGACACAGGAGGCCCCTTCAGGAGTGGGGGGCCCACGAAGGCCAGTACTACTACGGCAGCCCCTCTGTGGGGCTCATGGAGGGCCGGGGCACAGCCACCGAGGGCTCGACCTTCCAGAGGAAGTATGGCCAGGAGAGCCTGGTGGACGGCGGGGGCCACTTCCAGACTCTCCCCGTGGACCTCGCCAGCCTTCCTGCCCAGGTGGACGTGCCCAGCAGCAGCGGGGACCTGGAGGAGAACGACCTCATGCAGACGCCCCAGGGGCTGAGCGACCTGGAGATCGGGATGTACGCGCTGCTGGGCGTCTTCTGCCTGGCCATCGTGGTCTTCCTGGTCAACTGTGTGGCCTTCGTGCTCAAGTACCGGCACAAGCAGGTGCCCTTGGACGAGCAGGAGGGCATGAGCCACTCCCACGACTGGGTGGGCCTGAGCGCCCAGGCAGAGCTGCTGGAGAACCACGTCCCCTTCGCCTCGGCCCACGAGGAGCAGGTCACGGCCCTGGACAGGGACTTCGAGGAGAGCAAGTTCCTCCTCTGCTCCAGCTCCCAGAAGAGCAGCAACGGGCAGCTGTGCAGACCTGCGGGGCCCTCGGTGGCCGGCGCCAGGGACGAGAAGAGCGAGCCGCCCGCCTCCCCCACCTCCAAGCGGAAAAGAGTGAAGTTCACGACCTTCACCACCGTGTCTGCGGCCGAGAACTGCCCCGCCGTCAACTCGCTGGTGCTGAGCAGCGAGGACGACATCAAGTGGGTCTGCCAGGACCTGGACCCAGGCGAGCGCGCAGAGCTGCACGCCTACATGGAGCGGCTCCACGAGAACGCGTGACACGCGGAGACGGTTCCCTCTCACCTCTCGGCCTTTAATTTGGGATGTGTGGCCCCCTGCACCCGGGGAGCGGCAAGACAGGGCCAGGAGGCGCCATCCACAGCGCTCCGGGACACTGCCCGCTGGCCCGAGGCACAGCCCACCGCACATTCCACCCCAGTGTCACACACAAGTGAGGGGATGTTTAACCCTCGGAGTGAAGTTGAGCTCCAGATCTGGGCTTGCGGGAGGTTCCAGGGAAGAGAGGTTTCTCTTTCTCCCCGCAGTCAGAGCTGTTGGGAAGCTGCACAATCGGTTTGGCTCCTGTATTCAGTGTGGAGCCCACGGAAGGAAGTAGAGAGCGGCTGAGCCTGGACAGTCCTTAATGTGGGGCAGCACCTTGCTGTGAGTGTGGCCAGGCCTGGGGCCCGTCCACCCTCAGGAGGCACATGGTGACTTAGCTTCTCCCAGTGGCCTGGCAGTCCACAGACCTCGGCCACCGCTGCGAGGAGGCCCACGTGGGCGAAGGGACCAGGGACTCAGGGACGAGTTGCCAAGGACACACAGAGAACTGTCTGGAGCAGCCAGGCGCCCTGTGTGGACCGGGGGTGGGCGTGCAGTGTTGGCCAGGTCCACAGAACAAGGCTCCTGAGCAGGGTTGTGCTCACGACCTCCCTCGTTGGATTTGTATTTCTGTCTCACTGCCACTTTTCCAGATGCTGCTGTTGGCTGTGTGTAGAGTGGGTGGGAGGCGACCTCTTCCCCATCCCTGGGTTTGGTGTCCGGTCCCTGTCCTCTGGGGGACTTCACTCTGCCCTTCACTTCAGGGTGGCTTTGGGGACAAGCAGCCTTGACCAGTGAGCCCAGCACCCGGTGACTTTCTCCTTCACCTCGTCTGGAAATATGAAACGTTCAAGAGGCTGCTTGTCACAGCCTTGTCACACTCACGTGGCATCGCCCGCTCGTGAGTGTGCCCGCCAGGCTGCAGGACGGGTCTGGTCCCCCTGGAGTGCAAGGTGGCTGCACTGGGATGGGAGGGAGCAGAACTGAGCTTCTCCCCTCTGTGTGTGTGGGGGGGTGGAGGCACGGGAGGGTCCAGCGTGAGGAGGACAGGCGTGAGCCCCTGCTGTAACTCCAGCCCAAGCGGATCAGCATTGCTCTAGAACATTCCCTGCATCGGAGCTAAGGGGGGAGGGTCAGCATTGCTCTAGAACATTCCCTGCATCGGAGCTAAGGGGGGAGGGTCACCAGTGGGCTCCAGCCCCCATCTCACACTCGGTCCCCGGCCGAGGAGGAGGAGGAACTTGCCAACTACGACCAGCCTCAGAGCTGGTGGGAGAGGCCATCATCGTTGTCTCTCGTCTGTTCTGTCTCCTCCTCTGTCCTGGAGCGCCCTCTTCCAGTTCTCCTCCTCCACCACCACCACCTCCTCCTATCTCTTTCTCCTCCTCCTCCTCCCCCTCCTCTTCCTCCACCACCACCACCTTCTCCTTTCTCCTCCTCTTCCTCATAACCGCATGCAGCCTCTCCGTGAGTCTGAACCTCCTAAGTCCTCTTTTCCCTGACTCACATTCCCTCTTGTCTCTCCCTCTGTGTGTGTCTCTCTGTCTCTGTCTCTTTCTCTCCCTCTCCCTCCCTCCTTCCTCCTGTGTGTGTGTGTGTCTGTGTGTCTGTGTGTCTGTGTGTCTGTGTGTCTGTCTGTGGATGTCTCTCTCTCTCCATCTCTTCCTCTCAGTTCCCCTCTTCTCTCTCTGGCTCCCCCTCCCCTGCATACAGTCCTGTTTTTCCGAGTCAGCTTGTGACTCCACCACCCCCAGTTCGCCCCCGCACATCTCAGCACCGTTCCTCTGATGACAGTTTGCTCTCGAGCTGGTTTTCCAAAGGCCAGGATGTCACGGGCCTCTGTCCCTGAGTTTGCTCACCCTATTTGGTGGGTCACCCCTCTCCAAGGGTAGCCGCATTTCCGTTCTTAACCATGGGATGTCCTTTTAACACAGCAGCTGCCACCCCCTGTGAGTCCGCCTCCACAGAAAGTGTATTGTAGACTGTACAAATGTAATATATATTTATAAATGCAGCACCTGTAAATACAAAGTTTGCCTTCACGACTTTCTGGCTGTCCCTTTGCTTTTCTGCATGCTCCCCCTCCCCTGGGCTCAGCTCTGTCCCCAACGGGAAATGAGAACTCAGGTTCAGGGACACCAGCGATCCCACAACGTTGCCCCCTTGTGTAGGGCCATTCGCTATGGAAGGGACAGTGGGTGACACACGATGACAAGGGGTGTGTGTGTGTGTGCTTGGTGTCTCTCCCAGGACCTGCAAGGGCTCAGAGATGTAGCACAGCACCGTTCTCCAAACACCAACCGACAGTGCTGCTGAGGGGTGCATGGAAAGGTGCCCCCCTCACCTGCACCAACGCCCAGCTGAGACCTGTGGTCACGTGTCTGCACGGGGTCATCTGGACAGGGAGCGAGGGGAGCCGTTCTGCGTCTGTAAAGCTGACAGTCTCTGGAATTCCTCATGCAGCTGCACTCGGTCCTGTGGGTGGGTGTGGGCTCAATGGCAGTGGGTTTGTTTTCAGGCACCCTCAGTGGTGCCGGCTGTGCTCGTGCTCCACAGCTCACCAGAAGGTCGGTGGTTCGGCTCCACCCCAAGGCACCTCGCAAGAAAGTCCTGGGGATCTATTGTTACAATTTCAGAACTGGTATCATGACACTGTACATGTGAGAAACATCAGATAGGCACATTGTGTGTTATATTTTTATAATTTAAAAAAATTAAACTTACAAGAATACTTCTTGAGTCAACAGATTAAATAGAACATCCAGGTCCTTTCCCTTCTCTACTTCGGCAGCCTGGGAAGGAGCTGCCCAGCTCCACCGCCCCATCTTCCGGGGCCCCTCTGTCCTCCCTGTCCTCCCCTCCGGGTCCCCCCCGGGGCCCACACTTCGCAGCTGGCCTTGCTGTTCTCTCCACAGAACTCGCCACTTGCCCAGAGCCTTCTCCAGCCCCAGTTGTCACCGGAGACCCACCTTGGGAGTCAGGCCCTGAGCCCGCAGGGCACCCTCACCCTCAGTAGAACCTGAGCTCCACAAGCAGGCCGACGTCAGATGCTGTTTTCTGAGTAAGTGAAATCTGCCCTCCCGAAAGAAAACCTCAAGGGACGTGCAAAGTGTGGTGCTGCTGCTTACGAATTAGAAAATAACAATGGTTACCAGAAATCAGTCATACAATTATGCGAGTCTGGCTTTAAGACCCAAAACCAAAACCAAGCCGCCTGCTGTGGGTGCGTTCCAACTCCCACAGCCCTCGGGGTTCCGAGGCTGTGAATCGTAGCAGGAGAAAGCGGCATCATCTTTGTCCCAAGGAACACCTGGTGGGTTTGAACCATGAACCTTTTGATTAGCAGCCCGACACGTAACACACTACACCACCAGGGCTTCCCGGGTCCTCCCAGAGTGGTGGCTCCATGAGATAGGACTGGCTGGCTCTTCTTGACAGAATCCAGGCAGAGAGGCCGTGGTGAGGACTTGATGGGCTGCGTGTACTGTGACTGTCGAGAACAGCCCTCCCTGCTCATCGTGAGAAGAGACCAGGAGAGGCAGTGAGGGCCGGGAGAGAGTCACCAGTGCCTCATCAGTGGAGGCTCTTGGAGGACCCTCCCCCTATATAGCAGTGAGAGGCCTCTTCCGAGTCAGTGGGCTTTTCACCCTCAACCCTGTTCTGTAACTCTCGCCGTTTCTCTAAGTTCATAGAGTTTCCAGAGGCATGTGGTTTAGGAAGTGGATGCCATTCCTGCTTATATGTATATGCAAATTCATACGCTGTTAGGTGCAAATCATAGGGAGCCTGTGAAAAACAGCTCTGACCCCTGTCCTATCCTGTGCCGCCTTCATCATCTCTGACACACTTGAGCCCATTGCAGCAGTCGCTATGTCAGTCCAGCTGGTTGAGGGTCTTAAGTCCCTTTCACCAACCCTCCACCTTTCCAAACATGATACCCCCCTTCAAGTCTATTCTTTCCTAGAAACATGCCTAAGATGTGAGACGACACTTGGCCATCTTTGCCTCCACGGAGCACTCTAGCAGTACTTTTCTCCAAGACCTACCTGTTTGTTTTCTTGGCAGTCCAGGGATGTTCAGTACTCTTCCCCACTACCAGAGCTCCAAGGCATATATTCTTCTTCTGTCATTCTTGGTCATTTCCCATCATCTTCTGTCACCTTTATTCATTGTCTAGCTCTCAGCAGCATAGCAAGTCATTGACAAGTCCATGGCCTGACGCCAGCACACCTTATTCCTCAAACTGATTTCATTGCTCCTCAGTAATTTGGAGAGGTCCCTGACTGCAGACTTTCCCAGTGCAGTGCGTCTCCTGATCTCCCCACTGCTGGTACTACCAGTGTCGATTGTGGATCCCAGTAAGATGAAGTCGTTGACAACTTCAGTTTTTACTCCATCTGTCATTATGTTGCATGTCTGTCCAGTGGTGGCACCAGGAGCTCTCTAGGATGACCAGCCTATGAGATCGAACAGGCAGCCTTTGCACAGTGAGGAAGCTGAGAAGGCAGGAAGGGAGAGGAGAGAAGGATGAATGGAAACCCGAAACACAAGGAGGAAGTAGGAGGGGCTTGTAATAAAAATGTGTAGGAACTGTCCAGGGACAACTAGTGACTCTGTAAACTTCCACCCAAATCACAAAACAAGGTTTAAAGTAAAAGCCCTTGGTTTCTGCTCTGGCACACGGGGGCCCCAAGTGTCAGTGCCAGTTACTGGCAGTGACAAGCCGGCCTCTGGGAGCTGGAGGGAGGCCAGGCCATGATAGTCAGCACTGACGGGTGACCGCCACAGGAAAGCACAGGCTCATTGTGGGCAGATGTGCTGAAAGCCGGGGGTTAGTAGGGTTAGTAGAAACCCTTCGAGGTTCTCCTGTTACCTGGATCCACAGTCAACATCCATGGTACCAGCAGTGAAGAAATCAAAAGACATGTTTCATTGGGGAGATCTGCTGTTATGGAACC